CGAAGCCGGAGTATGTTGACAAATGTCTGCATCCTGTGGTGCGTTAAACCATAGTTATGGCTGGAAGAATGTTCAGTGCTTGTGCCTTCTTTAGTCCATAGAACTTTTGGATAATTCTGTATGATGTGGTAACAGTTCCTCCAATTAATCGCATTTGTTCTTTAAATAATTTTTGCTTACTTGTGACTGGCACACGCTGCAAGCTCCGTATACGCAGTGATTCCAAAACGTTCACTTGTTCGCACCTGAGTTGGTGAAAACCGACCCATGATGTGAACATTAGACCTTCCCAGTTTCCAACGCCGTTCGCTACTGACCCCAACCATTCGGTTTTCCAGGCAATAATATTCAGTCTTTAGGAGAATCTTATGAAGTCACTCATGGAAGCCGCTAGAGACGGTACTCACCGACACAGAGTGTTTCTTACATTTCACCAGATTAAGCCAAAAACCTCAGTCATGTGCACACTAGGAGTACACAATCAAAGGCGGTATTCACTGTTATCCACTCACTGAACCGAAACACACACTTGCTATTTTGGGTGCAGTGTTGGTAGATAACCTATGCGCTTCCATTCGGAAGTGTTTCGAGATACAGCGGTTGAAGCAGTACCAACCTGCTGAAAATATTTCAAACAAATGACTGAAAGGCCTATGCAAAATGACTTACGGGTGTACCAACAGACTGCCACCCCGCTCACCTTAAACAAGATTAAATAACATATTTAGTAAGGTTTAATTGGGCGAGATTACGTTGAGATTCAACCCTGATGCTCTCAAACTCAATTATGCCCAAAAGTGCCGACAAACACTGCATTCTGTGGGGCACGTTTGATAAACAAATTATTAGCCGGCCTCTGAAGAAATGTAACATTGACTTTGTTCAAAATTTGCAGAAATTGAGAGTCGAAAATTCGTCTGATGAACTTGTCTGATGGATGCCATTGTGTCGTATGACACTCAGAGTGGAGCTTGTTAATTTGGGTTGAATGTCCATGCAGTCTACTGCAATGTAGCAAACAAACTGACGTCCTCCTGATTAGGCAAATTTGGAATAGAAACTAGGTTACTGCACCACTGCTCAACTCCAATTGTGTGGTGCTCAGACAACTTTGACTCTAATCTTCGTGACGTCCAACCGATGGTACTAGTCGCCTCTGCTCAAGATAAGACAGAAGTAAGGAACGTCTGGTGTACTGCATTTTGTGTTTTTCTGAGTCCGATGCTAAAGTGAACGCGAAATTAGACAGGGACTCGGTCAGTTGCCGCTAGCTCCATCACTGAGCATTCAAGTCGTTGTTCCGTAATTCGCAGCATGTTGCTTGTGAACATTTAATGTCTCCGACATGAAGTTTCAACTTTTGCGAGTGGAATCTATTCCTTGAATGAGACGTCATCCTATGAGTTGTAAACCATAAGAGACAATCCAGGGTGCAATGCGGCTAAGCTTCAAAGTACGAGGGTTTTCATTGGTGGTTTTTTCACCATTCACTTCAGACTTTCCTCCACAGCTGGTTCATTCTCCTGTGGCTTGCTTGATTAGGGCAGTACATAGGCCCATGCTTACTAAGAAGTGAACGTATACAGAGGTTATCAGATCTGTGAATAGAAAGGTGAAACAGATACTTACAATACGAATGCCCCTATCGACTGTCACGGAGTGTCCTATATGGCATTTCCCTCCTCCTCCACCCCCTTCAGAACTTAATATGTAATGGTGACAGCTTCTTTAATGCCTGAGTAGAAATGTAAACATAAGTCCGGGATATCTAACAAAACCCTTGTGTAAAAGATACGTAATGGTCGTGTTTACCACTTTCGACTTGTTACTATTTCCAGTTATCACAATATTCATACTTCTTCCTTCACAGGGTATTGCAGTCTACAAAAGAAATCTGGAACTTGTAATGGTGGAATGGTACGCTACTTCTTCAACAAATCAAGAGGGGATTGCAGCAAATTCTATTACAGTGGATGTGGTGGAAACGAAAACAATTTTCGGAGTTTCAAAGAGTGTCGAACAATCTGTCTAACCTGATGATTATTGACCAACACCAGTTCAATACATTCAATCTGGTCTAAAAAAAATAAATTCCATCAACGAACATTCCAAAAATGTTTTCTTTATGCAATCGAAAAATAAAGCAGAAGAATCCTAGACACTCTCATTTATAGACCAAACCAAATGGCATGTTCAATACCGAAGATGGGTAGGTGCTGAGAACCATGGCCTCAAGCTAGTGGACTGTAGCAAGTTTTACGTAAACGTTTGAGTGGTGTTTTCATTGGGGAATTCACAATCAAACAGAGGAAAAATTTTATGAGTTCACATAACGGTGTGGCGGTTGAAGATAACACTGACTTCAACCTGCATTAAACCAGTAGGCAACTGAGTAGTTTGGCGAATCACTTCAATTTCGATTCTCGTGTGTACCATTTAGTTAGCAGCTAATGAAGCAAAACAACGGTTTCCTAATTTAGATCATTTTGATACGCGTCGTATGGATTATACTGCTCCAGGTTCAACACAGAAGCTGTGTTGAATTTCGGTAGATTAAATCGAAAATCTCGACCCCAGCCCTCTTGAACGACGGTGATATTCATGAGGCAGACACCGCGTTGACGTAATTTCGCTGCGAATTACTGAGTCCACCTGATTGTGTAGATGGGTTTCGTATGTGTCATTGGCATGTACCCTTGGTTACTCTAGACATCTCTCAACAACGTTTTCACATAACGAAATTGTTTGAAAATTCCGTCTTGGTATGGTAGTAGACCGGAACATGAGAGTTTTGACTGCCTAGGTTTTGCGGTGCTCCATCAGGATGCAGGGACCTGCCGAGAAATAAATATGCCCTTCATTGCCCTCGTGTATTTCTTTGGCGCTCGGCAGTCCGATACACCCTGGATACTTCTTACAGCTGATTTTATTTACCCTAGTTTCAAGTAATCTCGTGACAGTTCTCCTAATTCAACCTGAGTGGGACTGGTTTGTGTGTGGTTATAAACCGAACAGGTTGCATTGCCTTACGCCAACACATGAGGTTCAGCTTTGGTAACCTCCACAAGAGAATGAGGAAAACTGGTTGTAGTTTATGCACATCCATCCCTCATGCGGAATACACATCAGTGCGAAAAACTGGAGAAAACCAAAGGGTTACTGCAAAAATCTTGTCTAATGTTCACAAAATTACAACGAGTATAATAACGCCAGACACAAGATAGGCACAAAAATGTTCTCGCTGTGTCAGATTCTGGTTTGTTTGAAGTGATATTTTTCTAAGGGCTACAATGCCACATAGACTTCAGTTGTGAAGACCGTTTGATATCAGTCGACAATTTGTTGCCTGGATATACAGTTTACCTACTGTTCCAGCCAAAAGCCAGGCCGCGATCAAGCAAGCTTAATAAGAACTTAGCACCTTATAAGTTAATGGATACGGAGAGATGTCACTAACCAGATGATTCCTGGTTCAACCCAAATCCTGGTTTTTCAACTAGATCCTTGTGGGTTCAGTAACCTAGACGTATGTTATTCGTCGTTGCTTTTTTGCAATATAAGGGTGCCACCGATGAACAATTGTTACTCTTTCTATCGTTAAGTCACCTAAAAATATTCTCAAATGGCAGTAAGAAGGGTCATCTCATCTTAGTAAGATAGAGTTCGGTGTTCAAGTTGGTGGCAGATCTTCAGCGCTGCACCTACGGACACAGGAGAACCTCGATTCCGTCGCGTCTTCTCTGCATCACACCCCGTAGTGACTGAAATCGTAAGCGTTCGGGATGCTTCCAATTCGTCTGATGTCCCTCTGATGGAAGGTCTTCACAGCAGTGATGTAGGGCAAAACGATTCTTTAAGGATGCACCCAAGAAGGAGGCTTATTATTGTGTTGTATCCGTTGAGCGAATGACACAAACCACCTACAACGACGCATCCGTTGATTATATAGAAGCCATCTCATTTCAATTATTGCAGTGAGTAATAGTTATTTTTCAGATGCGGATCATCATCAACAGCTTCTGGCATTGTGCAGGCAAGATGGCTCTACTTTGGTAGACCGTAGCCTGCCGACAAGCTTTTACGCGATAACAGTTGAACATCCTCTATGAATGCATATGAAAATGCGTTCTCCAAGCAGCATTACCAGCCGACAACCATCATGTTACCTACAGACTCAGACGCTAACAAGACAGCACGCCAAACGGATAGTATTTCAATGGCCTCAATAGAAACAATAGGACTAGAACTTCTCCAGCAACTCAGTACATCAGTAGAACAGAGAGTCAGGTTAAATAGTGAAGACAAGAAAGCCAAAATTGGAGACAAATTTTCAAGAGTGATTAGGAATTCAGAAGAAAGGAAACGCATCAAGTTATCGGTCGAAAACGCCTCCAGCAGACGGGCTCACACGGGCGGGACGAACGTCCTCATACAGGAGCTCATCTCCGTTTGCGTCCATCTGCATTATTTGGCCATTCTAGGGGCAGCGATGAAATCTATTGAGCTCAGTGAGGATAACTAATAACAACTTCGCAAATTCGTCGTTTCAGTCGCCCATGCAATAGAAGGGTTGATGGTTTCTGCACCAAAAAAAAAGGTTGGGGGAGAGAATTTGGCAAAGAATAGCCACCTTCAAGTTATCGGTCGAAAACGCCTCCAGCAGACGGGCTCACACGGGCGGGACGAACGTCCTCATACAGGAGCTCATCTCCGTTTGCGTCCATCTGCATTATTTGGCCATTCTAGGGGCAGCGATGAAATCTATTGAGCTCAGTGAGGATAACTAATAACAACTTCGCAAATTCGTCGTTTCAGTCGCCCATGCAATAGAAGGGTTGATGGTTTCTGCACCAAAAAAAAGGTTGTGGTAGAAAATCTGGCAAAGAATAAGCCACCTTCATTCTACTAGCCGATAAGCGATACTTGACACTCATCCTAAACAAACCACACTACTAACCAAAGCACAGACCATACTAGAGGACGCAACTACATTTCATCGTATGGAACACAATCAAACAAAAGACGTCAACAAAATCAACACAAACCTTATAAAACCTCAAGTCATGCAACGGCTCACAACAGAGGATGAATACTGGGGGGTGAGTGTGTGATTCCAATATTGCTCACCCCTAGCGATTCCCAAAGGCATATAAATAAGGAATACCACTACTGCTCATCATCCCTTCCCGAAACATTCGCAAACAACTTCTCAGAGGAACTGTGGAACAAGCTGGGATTCGTACCGGTAGAGCTCGGTTATCAGTTAGCAACCCAAAGCGGCTTTTGGTCCCACTAAAAGACATGAAACTAAGGGGAAGAACTTATGGTATCATTCGATACGACCTCATTGTTCACATTCGTGGAACTCAAATATGTGTAGCTAACTGTTGCTGAACTACTGGACAGCTGTAGAATTCTAAAAGAATCTCCAAAATATGATACCATCTACGTGCTACCGATTTCCACAGAATTCGCACTAACCGAAGAATAGTGCAAAAGAAACTGAGAGCAACACAAATGGGATCGCCAATTTTAGGACAACTACAAACAGAAGTCCAGACAAAGGCGACTAAGACAGACGAAATGCTGCATTACTGTGGTAAACATCCAAAGTGCCACAAACAGACCTGCATACGAAAACTGTTCAAACACACTACAATAAAGCGCAATCAAAGGTAAAGGAAAACTCGTATGTACAGATTTTCCATAGAATTGGCTATTCGGGAAATTTTATCTGGAAATCCCTGAATTCAGCTTCTCTCGACCAACCAACGGCATGTAGACATCGCTTCCGATCGTCGCGTAGTTATGGAGATAACTACCAAGGCATGTTGAACAGGCCAACTGCGGTTTGTATGAAACAAATCGTTGCTTGGTTCTTGATCCTCCGATTTACCCATATCTCGGAACATTGTCACGAGGTACTGCGCACTCACTTATAGACAGAATCCAGTCCCACGAGGATTCTGTGCACAATGAATGCAGCAATGGCACGGACATGTTAATGAATGAACATCTTACTGATCGAGACAATAGGAGTCAAACCACCTCATTTCACAACATTAGTGACAGAAATTAATGCACCCCAAAGGCTCTGTGTTACCAGTTGGTCGGATGAGCCACGCCAACAAAAACTGTGTTAACTGCAACGCAGTTTGAGAATCACACACCAATCAACATGCACATATGTAGTACGGCCATCCGAAAACCTACTGCAGGCCATCATTCTGTGCAACACGTTGTGTCATTTTGTCATTAGTGTTACCCTGGATTTCACTGACCAGACGTATCTTTCATCAAACCGGTCACGACTGATTTCTGTCAAATACTCACTTGCATGATCAGCAAGCAAGTATATCTCACAAAACACCAGCGTTTGAATACATATTGTAAGGGTGAAACGATTATAAGTTACTGATGACTAAGAGTATGAATCACTTCAAACACTACTTCACGAAATTATTTCCGTTCCATTCTCGCCCAACATAGCGGGACACTTCGTACTACTCTAATCTAATCTGTTTTTTCTAATCTGTTTCTAATCTGTTTTTTTTCAGAAATACCATAATGGAAATAGCGTACAAGGTTTAAAATTTATTTGAAGACTGACTACCAGTGAAGGGAAGAAAAATATAAAATCATTGCTAGAATTGATAAACCATCCGTTCAACACCACAAATGTTAAAAAAAAATGCCCTGGAATTATCTTCGCGTCTTCAGGATACCGTTTAAAAGAAGATGTCATTGTTGTGTTGACCTGATGAAAGAGTTACGCCTCCATCGAGTGCACAAGGCAGTGAACAAAAACAAGGGTGATTTGGTGCTTGGTACTTTTTGCAATCCTACATGCAGATCTGAGGGGAAGTAGCCACTTATGGCGTCAAAAGGGCAACTCACTAGATCTTAAGGGTCGTGTGTACCAGACTACAGTAAGGGTTATGTTGTTGTATGGGTGCGAGACATGGCCTCTGCGGACAGATGATGTGAGGCGTCTTCAGGTTTTCGACCACCGATGCCTCAGAAGTGTGGCTGGTTTTGGATGGCGTCAGCGTGTTAGTAACTAGGTGATTAAAAAACGGGTGTTTGGTTGTGCTGCAGGCACCTCAATCCCAGAAAACATGCAGCAGCATCGTCTACGATGGCTCGGTCATGTGGCATGCATGCCGAAACACCGTCTACCGAGACGAGTGTTGTTCTCCTTGGCTCCTTCAGGATGGCGCAAACCGCGAGGTGGACAGCACATGACTTGACAGAAAGGCGTGAAAGAGATCACGAATAGTTTGGGTGTTGTTGGTGTTGTGCGCCTTCCAGGATTAGGTCCCTATTACCCCGTCTCTGATTGGCAGGAGACGTTGCAAGAAATGGCGGCTAATCAACGTTAGTGGCTTTTGTGCTGTTAATTTCCTTCACGTTGTTCGGTTGAGCGGTTTAAGGCGCAGACACCACAGAATGCATGACGTATGCCAGCACTAGGTCCCCTCCCTCACCCACCCTTTTTCTCTTCTTTTCATTCTAGAGTTTTCAATAAAATTATAATTCTATAAATCACTAGACAAACCTTATACGGCAGTGAATCATCAGTGCCAACACTGATGTTGCTGTCTTTGAGGATGTTGATTATGACATGCAAATCCAAGAAGAAACAGTTGTTTCACTCATCGAATGGGTAGCAGGAAGGCGAAAGCCGTGGGAACACCACATAGTAGGAGGGCCATTTGTTTCAGATAAACTTTATACTTGATGGACGGCTTGTTGCACTATCCACGGAAGATGAAACTCGCACAACGATCATGTTTCCATCGGAGGAAATCTACCACGAAAGCATGAATGAATGGGTCTTCAGTGAGCAAACGTTCAGAAATTACAAGGCCACGATATTCACTGTTGCTGCGTTAGGCACCGAAAGGTCTGTACAGATGGATGATTTGGAGAACTACTCCAGCAAGATTTGAGCAATCATCGATTCCGTACGTAATAAACCAACAAAATATGTAACTTCACAGACAGGCAGATATAGGAAAACTGTTGATATTGAAGGTCCATTTGCGCCTGCCTTGTGATACGACCAACGACTGCTACCACTGGTTGTTCATCACAAGCAAGAAAACCGATCCTAAGATGAGAGTCCTGCCACGAACACAGCTATCTTGCTTTACATACCACTAAGCCACCGCTACGTACAACTACGCTCCCCAACAACGCACTGATGATATCACCTCGATTGGTGATGAAACTTTTGCAATCACATTGCCCAGCTCAGCGAACAAGTTAACGACCATCTACCCTACCTGAGCTACCAGCATTTTCCTCCATGAAAATATTCTCTTCGATGGACTGAAACTCAGTTTGTTCCTGAACATTGGTCGTCGTCTCAATTGTAGCTTTGTAATTTGACGCACCCATGTAGAAATTTTCAGCGACAGGCAGAGATGTAAGCACATGATCTGCTAAAGCAATTTAAAATTTCATTTCCTCAAAATGTTGGAAGAAAACTGGATAAAAAAGTGACAATCAGCAACCCTCCGCAGATTATATTTTCTATCGCTAAAATTCACGTGGTCTTTTTGAGGGCCCTCAAGTTACGCTTCCAGCATTCGCTTGTTCATTTAGATCATAACAGACTTATTAGCTAAAATTTTTACTCGGCGCAGTACACTTTGCTCAGTTCCTGTGCTTCAACGACCTCTCTTAAATAAAAACAAAAGCTGTTAGCCGAATTCCCTTAACTCTAATGAGTTTCTCTTCGGGTAATTGAAAGAAGCAGCCTGCAAGCAGCTCTATCGAAATCTCATCCAAAATAGCAAGCAAGTATTTGGGAAGTCAATACGCACTTTATCTGCTATTCCCAATGAACGGCCACTTTTATTTCCTGTGTCACATCTGCTGTTACTTAAGAAGAGTGCTTTTATTGGTCAATGCCATCTTTCCCTCAATCAGGCGAAGTCAACAGCAGTGGATGAAAACACAGCGCCATTTTGAAAACAATAGTAGGATGGTAGTCCGCAGCCCTCATTTGGTTACGCTCAAGAAACTCCACATTCGGTCTTTCATTGTGTGACATATGAAATAACCGAGCATCTTACATTTGTAACATTAGAAACTCAGTTATAACGACTGGCGAGATGACAAGTAAAAATCCACAGCTGTTCCATACCTAATATTCACGTTTGTATATTGTCAAACGTCAAAACGCAACCGCAAGAAATGAAACAGCTGTTGAAAATACAGTGGACATCAAGGGAGAGCTTGTCAAGGTTGAGGTATGTTAATTAAAAACCCTCCAGTTGGTCCTGAGCGACCATCTATCATGCGAAATGGTCATGGCATGTACTTGACAATTTAGTGGATGCGCACGGCTGTCTCAGTGTTACCTGACTGTGTGCTAAACTAACAGCTATTATCATACAAGAATGTGTACCAATTAGTGTACTCGGTCGAGATTTCGTAGTGTATGTCTCGCGAACTACGCCCTAATAATGCTTCCCAATGAGAATGAAGTAGATATACAATGCCTCTCAGCTTTTCGGCACAGATCTTCACTGACAGGATCAACTCTTGGCGCTATATCCGGTGTAAGTATGACCTGCACACATTACTTATTAGCCCTCGTAGCTGAACGGTTAAATCTCTCACTATAAGCCAGAAGGTTGTGACTTCCAATCGCCTTGGAGATTTCTAAGATGCGCCCTGCTGATGATTCTCGGTCTTTTGACATAGATCAATTCCACTCATAGGACGGAATGACGACGGGAATTTTTCCGATAACCTCATACTCCTAACCAGGTGTGCTGAATATTCACAAATGACGGATGTGTTGATTGAAATACGAAGATAGAGTACAACAACGAGAATCTATGGTATCGCTATATAAACGGTGGTTTTGAAACGGATGTCCATCTGAGCTAGTAGATAGACAGTATTCGGACTGGACACTGAGCTGAACACATGGGAAAAAAGTACAGAGGGCAGTTTTGAACTGAAATTTGAAACGATATTTGGACTGACTTTGTGACAATAGTCAGGGGGGAAACTCAATGATTCCGAGGTTGAGTAGATGTGTTCGTGAGTAAGGGATGAGGTCTGGCGTTCCTGCTGTACG